TGGGTGAAGTGTTCCTTTAATCTTCAATATTGCATCCTATATTGTTCATTGCACCAGATGTATCTATCTGCAAAAAGACCTGAAATGTCAGACAAATGTAGCTAAGATTAAAGTACAATACTTCACAGTGAAAATTAAAATAGGTTGCATACAATACTTAATTAAGTTGCTCAAACTCGGTGACTAGAATTAAGATGTTTAAAAGTAAAAGTGTGTTGACACATCTCATACGTCAATGCATGAAAACAGTGACGGTGAAAACACAACATCACAAGGACACATAACTCATGTGATGTTCAAAAAGAAATGGTAGTCATGCTGAAAATGCACATTATATCCAGGAATGTACCTATAAAAAGCTGATTGATCATTGATGAATGTATGTTGCAATCATTTCCTGTTGACAATGGTTGTAGAGGATGCTGGGAACAATGAGGGCTTTTGAGAATAACAGACACATACATGTCGCCTTCTAAATTGCACTCTGTTTTGAAGGTGTGTGTCCCCAGCCAATGAGGATGCAGCATTCACATGCGTTACTTTGAGCAGCAGGGTGGGTAGAGGGGGGAGGGGGGGCTGTGCCTATAATAAACCCAGTGACTGCGCCTTTTCTCCACAGACAAGTGAGAAGAACTCGAGACTACAACAGGACTCCGAACCAGAAAAACTCAAAAGAATAACTTTTTATAAAACTGTTTTGTCTTTCATATTTTTTTACATTCTCAACAGCAGGGCTCTCTAAGTTTTTGCCGCTTTGGAATTTGATTTTCTGTGCTTAAAAAAAGTGCACATTTACAATTTTTTCTTCCCTCATCTGACACTTTTTCAATCTTCTGCAATGTTTCCAGAAACAAACAAAGGGTGAGTACACTTTTGTACAATTTACAGCATTTGGTTTTCAATGCTGCTGAACACATGGCCCCTTCATGGGGCTGTCGGCAAATATATATACCGGTTTGGAACGGGGCCAAAACAAATCAAACACGTGCTCTCTGGACAGCAACTGTTTGAAGAAGAAATCTTAATATTTGTCCTGAAGGAGTCCACAAAGTGTTGCTTTACACTTTTTATCACATTCGTTAGGCCAAAAATGATATCAATATCATTTGGTAGTGGTGTTCATAGTAGGTTCAGTATCAGAGTAATTTATTAATAGCACAGTCTCTTGAATCATGCTTGGGATTGTGTAGAAACAGCTTGTCATATGAAAGGTATTACACAAACTGTAGAATTAAAGGAATCAGTGATAGTTATCAAATAAGCAAGCAAAAAAAGATTGTGCGTGTCGCCAATTCATTGTATAAAAGGCGTGATACAGCCTGTGACTGCAGGAATGTGTGTGTGTGTGTGCATCTCTTCAAACACATCCTTATTAGTAGCCGTTCTTTGATCAGGCTTGCTGCCAAGAAAATCCGGTAATCTGATTATAATGATCACATCACATGATATTAAGCTCGGTGGAACAAAAGATGGTCTTTGCAGTCAAACTGACCTTAGAGTTTCTTTTTGTCTCATCCAGCTGGAGCTACGAGGACTGCAAGGCCACTGCTGATTGGCTGCTGGCCCAGACCGACGTGCGGCCCACGATTGCCATCGTGTGCGGCTCTGGGATGGGAGGGCTGGCTGACATGTTAAAGGACCAGGTGGTCTTCAACTACAAGGACATCCCCAACTTCCCACAAAGCACCGGTGAGTTCAGCTACAACAAACACCTCAGAAACAAATTGGTTCCCCATTTGGCTTTCAAACTAAGTGAATGTTTTGTTCTTCCTGCAGTGCACGGACATGCAGGCCGGCTGGTGTTCGGCACCTTGAAGGGGCGGCCATGCGTTTGCATGCAGGGGCGCTTCCACTTGTACGAGGGCTACCCAATCCAGAAGGTGTGTGTGCTGAAGAAAAGAATCCCATGAAACCTATAAAGATGCTGAAAGATCCTTCAAACCCAAGTCCCTTCTGGTTGTATAACATCCATGTGTGTGTTTCCAGATCACGCTGCCCATACGCATCTTCAAGCTGATCGGTGTGGAGACGGTGATGCTGACCAATGCAGCCGGAGGCCTCAATCAGGACTTTAAGGTTGGAGACATCATGATCATCAGAGACCACCTCAACATGCCGGGCTTCGCTGGCAACAACCCGCTGGCCGGACTCAACGACGAGAGGTAGGAAGTCCTGACGGCCTTTCCGACATTCAACAGTATCACCCTTTGGTCTTTGTCCGATTCTAAACCTTCCGTTTGTTCCTCTTCGCGCAGGTTTGGAGTGCGTTTCCCCTGCATGTCCGACGCCTACGACAGAGATCTGCAGCAGATGGCCATGGATGTGGGACAGGAACTCGGCTACGGAGACTTCCTGAAGGAGGGTGTCTACTGCGTGTTGGGCGGACCCTCATTCGAGACCATCGCCGAAGCCCGTATGCTGCACAAACTGGGCGCTGATGCTGTCGGTAAGAAGTGTTTCATGGATTATTACATGGATTTTTTTGCCACTAAAACTGAATTTTCTATAGTTAAAGTACATGGGCAGCTTTAAGTGCTTTTAAAGCTGTGGAAACGGTAGCCATTTAAAATTATTTTTTCCGATATGGAGAAATCAAAACTATAAAGCCTAGTTAAGTAAAGCTAGCTATAATATTTCTTCTTCTGCGGATAAAAGCAAGACATCACATAACATAGCATGGTTTCTATGTAGTTAAAACATGTTATACTTATCTGTCCTCTCCAGGCATGAGCACAGCCCCTGAGGTGATCGTCGCGCGTCACTGCGGCATGCGCGTCTTCGCCCTCTCGCTGATCACCAACAAGGCAGTGATGGACTACGACAGCGAAGAGAAGGCCAACCACGAGGATGTCCTCCAGACGGGCAAGCAGCGAGCGGAGCAGCTGGAGCGGCTGGTTTCCACCATGGTGACAAAGATCGAGCACAACAACAACTACGCCTAAGAGACGCCGTGCCAGACAGACGCTAGATTTGAACCTTTCACTGAGACTGAAGGGGACTTAAAGTGGTTGATATTTAATGCTATGGTGCCAAATATCCAACTTAGTTAAATATTTAGGTGAGCAGTGAGGCTGTTTTTAGTCTTAGGTCAAAAGAAGATAATATTGTCCTTTGGAGAACCTTACTTACATATCAACAGAAATACAAAACACACAAACAGCCTTTGTTTTCATGCCTGAACAGACGTCTTACATTCCTCTATCGAGCAGCTCCAGAGGAAATGTTTATTTTTATCATTTTGAGAGTTATTTGTTTTAACTTAAAAAATGTGATCAGTTTGTGTAAATGTCTGCAATTTAACTTAACAATGAGCTCAAAAATCTGTTATTTTGATGTTGTTGAAATGTGTTCATTAGTGGACTTATAGTATTTTAAGGTGTTTGTTTTTTCATATGAATGTTGTTACTAAAAAGGTACTATTTATTACTAAATTGAGTTTGCCTGTGTCGTTCTTTGGGGTGCAGAGGAAAACGTATTTTCTTTGATTAACACATCACACAATAAACTGAAAAAACTGAAAACCGCTGACTTTTATTAAGTGTTTTATGTCAACAAATCTCACGTAACTGTATTAGGTTAGTTGAAAGCAATAACATATAAATATTATGTTCAACTTAATAGTATTGCTTTCAACTAACCTAATACAGCCTAACCTAATTTGTTGACATAAAACATTTCATTAAAATCAACAATTCAGTTTTTTCAATGTACGAATTCAATAACATAACTCAGACTTAATATATGAAAAAAGAATGGATATCGAACCAGAGACTCGTAAAATCCCATTTATTTGCAAAGTGTGTATTGAAGTTTTACAGAGACGCTACACAGTAAGCCAATGTATTGCATGATGCTTGGGTCCAAAAGGGCCCAGAATGTTGCCAGTGTAAACGTTAGGTAATGTTACATAAGCATTACGCTGCAAAAACTGAAGACAGGAATGCTGGCATTGTCGGAGTATTAAACAAATGTAAGCGTTTGGTTGTCACTTTTTGATTAAATGTTTCAAATTCTTCGACTTAAAAAAGCACTGAAATATTTGGCAGAACAAACTATTTTGGTATTTGAAACCACTTGATAAGATGGTAAAAACAATACAAGCCTTCATATAAAACACTTGCTCCCATTAAACAGAAACTAGGCAGGCAGACAATATATGACATTCCACACTGCATGCATACAACATCTCCACGCATCTTGCATAATAGTTTACCTTCACCCAAAGTATTCACGTGTTCCCGTTAAAGGCAAAATTAAACAATGACGACATCCCTTTTGAAACCACTAAAACATCCATTTCCAACAATGATATAAAAGATTTTGTTGTCATATTTTGCAAAAACAGTCAGTAAAAAGTGCCATGCATAATTATGCCTTAAAGCTAAACAGGATTATTTTTAAAGAAATATAACTTGACACATTCTCTATGACACAGCACACTGACATTGTCTCCGCGCTACAGGGCCCAGTGAAGCTTCATGAGAGGACTCGTGATGCTGAGGTGAAAGCTAAAGTTTGGCAGAAGATGTAAACGAAAGTGGCTCGCTGGCGACATCGCTACGGAGGCAGAGTAGAGATACATACTCTGCGCATTCATATGTTGGCTGGAGAACAAGCTAGCGCACTTAGCAGCTCTTCACATCGGGCACAAAGATTGTGAAAACTCGAATTGTTTTTCTAAAAAATGTAAATCTGAGAGGAGTCCTTTGCAGATTATCCTCAGGGACATTAACTAAAATGATAAAATGGACTTTTATTAATCCCTCGTGGCGAAATAGTTTCTCTGCATTTGACCCATCCTAGTGTTAGGAGCAGTGCTGCCATTTTGAACGGCGCCCGGGGAGCAGTGTAGGGAACGGTGCCTTGCTCAGCGACACCTCGGTAGCACTTGCTCTTGCCGGGACTTGAATTGGTGACCTTCCAGTTGCCAAGCCAACTCCCTATGGACTTCGCCACCACCGCCCTAACTCTTTGTGGACTGGCCACTGGATTGTTTTCACTTCAATACATTGATTTAATCAGAAATCTGTATTATAGGTATTCAATTTCCTCTTCTGCCACTCTAAAGTATCCCTTGCTTATAATGTGTAAATCATGTTTAAGTAATTGTTGATTGCTCATTTTAGATATAAAAACTGTTAAAATCGAAACCACGAATCGACAAAAAATATCCCATTTATTGTACATACAAAAAAAGTGCAAAAATAATCATTTTGGTTGAGTTTCAGGGCTGTGTGGAGAGAAAACCAATGTGTTACTTTTCAACCTCCTTGGCTTCATTTCCTACATGAATTTGGATTATCTGGATTATTTGGATTATAACCAAACCAGACATTTTAATGGGAATATAACATTTTAAAGATAAGGGTGTAACTTTTAACAAAATACATTGTTATATTATGTTTTATTTCTAGACAAAAAATCTATCCAAACTATAATTAGGGATATTTTTTCTCCACCTACTGAAATTAAACCAATATTTTTATTTCTGCCTCCAATAAAATGTTTGTATAGTTAAAAAATAGTTTAAAATGTTCCCGCCTGCAGTCAGTGTGACCGCAATGTTGACCACCAGGCTACAAGAACTGAGTGTCCCTCCGTTGGCAAAGCAGATGGCAAATAAAGGTTTGGCACATTTCCAATGTAGGCACTGTAAAGATTGATTTACAGTCTTTTAGCATCAGAGCGCCACGACAGCAAGAGGAAGAACTGGTGGAGAAAAGGCACTTCTGAAACCACACATACTGGGCCTGGAGCTGCGGGATGCGGGAACATTTACAGAAGAGTCCTCTCGTCTCTAGGCAAACATGGTCAGGGTAATCCACTGCAGAGAACACAGAGAGCGTGTGAATTAGGGGATGCTAATTGTAAGCTATTCACAGAGTAGATTTCCAACACAAGCTTGAAAAACTAAGACATTGTTTGTGTGGTGTTTATGTTCACGTGTGTGGCCGTACCTGCGTGAAGTTGAGGGACATCATACCATCTTTATCCGTGTCCATGGTCTGAAAGGTTTCTGCAGACAGAAACAAAGAGAAAACACTTATTTAACTATCACCAACTTACTATTATTATACTCTTTTTTAAGTGCAACACAAGCATTTGTATTTCTTTTTTATGTTATACGTTGTTTTGTTTTTTACCCAGAGACATGTACAGTATGTTGTTTATTTTTTTAATTACGGACATTAATTAGCAATAGGCTACAATAGCATACATGTATGTATTAGTTTGAGCCATACAAGCGCCACCAATAACAGTAAGGTAGACCCAAAAATCGTAATATTTTAATATACGGTAACTATAAGTTAGGCGTTAATTTATTTTGTTAACGTTAGCTATCTATGCTAATGTTGTTAGCAACGTTGGCACTTAACGTGAACGTCAGTTGTTGATAGCATAGATAGCTAACATTAAACCTAATAAATAAATAATAATAATAATAATAAATAAAAACCTAATACTTTTATTTGTGCATTCAAAGTTATTTCAAATTAAAGTAGCATTGTTAACCCTGGAGGTTCAATTACAAATGCTATCGTTATCTTGGTTTGACTTTTTGTGGTAAATTGAGGTAAAATGTGTCTTTAATGACATTGAGGAGGTGCAGTCATGGGACTCACTGAACATGGTCTCCAGTCGGACCAGACAGGTGACAAAGTTGTCAAAGTCCACCGCCATGTCGGCCTCTGTGTAGCGCAGGATGATCAGCTGGAACAGTTGGTTGGTCAGCTTAAAACCTAAAGAAGAAAACCCAAACAGAAAAAATTAGGCCATGTTTTACCGAACAATCAAAAGCATCAGAAAAAGATGAAGATCCAGAGGGGAACACGTAAACCCTGTGAAGAAGAGTGAAAATTGCTTCTGACTTTTGTGTTACTACTTATTTTTTCTTGTATTTAAATGAAAAGGAACAGTACCTGCAGATTCAAGAGCCATCCTCATCTCATAGGAACTCATGGTTCCTGATTTGTCCAGGTCAAACTGCCTGAAGATGGTCTGGCAGGGAAACAGAAAATGGAGAATGGAAAAAAACTAGTATTTCGGCACGCCGACAGGAAGAACATGAGAAAAGATTGGTCGACTGATCGGTTGTCAAAACAAACAACAGGCTGACGCAGGTACCATGGAGCAGAATAAATATTATTGAGTCTGTTCTGGGTTAGGACGTTTTTCCTTGTACGATGTGAGGGTCTAAGGTCAGAGGGTGTTGTTTTCTCATACTGATATTCTGCACAAACTGTCCTGTCGTATTTACTGTATAGTGTCCTTACTGTAAGGTAATTATTATATGTACAGCACTTTGGCTCGACCAAAAATCGTTTTAAAAATGTGCTATATAAATAAAACGTGACTTGAATTGATTTGATTTAAATCTCACCAGGTATCGCTTAATCTTTTCCCAGAGGACATGGAACTCTGTCAGGCCGAGCTTCCCACTGCCATCCGTCTGAGCACAGGAGTTAAGGAACAACCAGTACGAGAAAAAGATAAACTTCATATTATTTAAAATAGCACCCAATTTTAAGGGAAAGTCTATAGGAGTACATGAAACAACAAGACGAAAGAAGAAGAAAAGTGTATTGAATTATTTCAAACTGTCCATCACAGGTCCAACAATGGGACTGCAATGCTAAACTTGGGGAGTACCTTTGTTTAATGAAGCATTTTTTTCTGAACCTTTAATATTAAAGTTATATTAATGCTGATTTTTTGATGCCATTTCAAGGATACGTCCATTAGGTTTATCATACTGCGACAAGCCTCTTTCGTGAAGCCGTCTGTCTTCAGGTCTTTATCTGTTTGCATCAGAAAGTCAAACAAAAAGAGAGAAGAATATCAAATATAACACGCTATAATTCCATATTATCAGATGCCAGCTTGTATTTCCAGAGTGATTGCAGCAGTTACTAACGTTTGCCGATGATCCTGTTCAATATGGTTTGCAGCTCTTTGAGGCTGATCTCCATATCCTGTTGAAATAAAGACAGTCAAATAATTGAAATATAACTAAAAGCTTTACCCTGAAACATTTGTCAAAGCGTTCTTACCGGCCCTGCCAGCTGTCTGAAGAGATTCTTGAAGCTGGCATCGATTTGGCTCTCGTCCAGCTCGATCTGAAACACAAACACAAACATTTCAGTACACTTTGGTTCCTCTCCACACAGTTTTAGCAATTATGTTAAGTTATTAAATCTTCTCACCTCTGTTGGAAGCTCAGCTATTACTTGATCATCAAGCTCCCTGACATGGAAAGCAGAAACATTTAGAGTTACTTAGATGCTTATCTTAATACTATTTTTTTTTTACTTTGCTAAGGAGATGTTTTCAGCTTCATTTGTCTGTTTGGCCCAAACAGACAACTGGCCCAATGTTCTTGTAACTTGGTGAAAAGGTGTAGCATGGAGCCAATTGGAATAACGGAGGGAAAACAGACTTTCCAACTCGAGAAATGTGACCACCAGAGGAGCACTTGAACGCACCATTGGCCTTGGGGCAGGTCTCCGCTCTCCAAGTGCCATTCTATTGTAAAAGCTGTTTCTTTCTCTGTTTCCATGTTGTTTTTAGCTTCATATGTATTATATTCATTACATTTACTAAAGATAACACTTAATACAATTGACAGTACACTTAACCTGGAATAATCTTGTAGAATTAAAGAATAGCTGCTTATTTTCTCATTATAAATCTCATCTCATGCCCAAAGCATCCTCTCTGCCTCCTCCCACTCTGTCACAGCCACTCACTCGGAGTCTGCGGGCTTCTCAGAGAAAACTCTGAGGCAAAAGTCGGCCTCTTTGTGCGGCTCGAAGGTGGAAGGGACGATGATGTACTCCCCGGCCGGCAGACTCAACCGCGAGCTGACCTCCCTCAGGTTGATGAAGAGCTCTGAGCGGGCGCTGGAGCCGTGGGTGAGGAAAAAGTCTCGCTTCAAGTGGACGCCTGAGCTGCCCTTAAACTGAGAGGGGAGGGAAATAGCATGCCTTCAATAAAGACTATAAAATCAAAAGATGACATTTTTTTGAAAAGAGGTGAAACTCATACCTCTTTTGGAATCTGTAAAGAATGGAGAAAGGGGGATAATTACTATAATGGACGATATCATGAACTACAAAATACATGAGAAAAGCTACAAAATAGAGATTCTCTGGCTAAACTGAAATAAAGAACAAAGTTTGAATCCTGAAACGTGATATTGTAACATCTGTTATAAAGATAGCTTTTAAGTGTTTAACAGTGTCTTCATTTAACTTTTTTCTGCTTCCTTTGTTTTCAAAACAGGCATTATGTTAATGTTCTCCAAGGGGAAATGCTCAAAAATGACCATTTGTTGGTTTTACGATGACGTTTTTAGCTTGTCAGGCTTCACATTACCTCGTAGAGGGCAAACCCGATGGTCTCCATGTCTTTGCCCTCCCGCCTCTTCTTCCTCCGGTCCTTCTGCATGAGGCCGACCAGGAAGCTGCAATCTGATTGGCCGGGAGTGTCGGGATGATGCAGAGCAATCTTGAACTGAGGGTTGAGCCAAAAGGTTGCTGGGAAGAAGGAGTTGGGAAAGTCAGATTGCAAAACATTTGTTAGTATTTTTGTTTTTTTTATCCACCAAAATTCCTATGCATATTCAGTGTCTCTGAAACAGAATATAACGCCACCATATGATCCTAAAACTGAAAAAGAAAATTAAACTGGATCGTGTTTTGGGACAGATCTTCTATCATATATCATCCTTCCATTTCGTTGTTTATTTCTACTTCCGGTTCCTTCCTCCCATCCATTTTCTAGCTCACACTTCCTACCTGGGAAGTTCCTGCAGCCTCCGGCCGTGCTGCCCCTCCTCCACTCGCCCTGATACAGAGACGAGCTCCATTTCTTCGGCTGGCTGTTCTGCAGGGCATCAGCCGTCAGGTTGCAGAGCTCCAGACGATTGAACTCGTGCAGGAAGTCACTGAAGGACATCCTGACAGACGTACACAAACATACTGTTAGGACAGGGTAGTTTTTCCATCACAAAGTCAAAGAGTCTAAGCTTGTCTCAGCACAGACGAAAACACTGACATTTCAACATATACTGTTTTCTGCATCAATTTATCAAACCGACAAAGGGAAACAGATGTGAAACAACAATAACACACAACTGTAGGCCCTGAATTCAAGTGTGGTTTGATAATGTGTGTTTTTCCAACTGATGGTAATAGGCACTCACCAGAATTCACCGTCCTCACTGCGGTTTTGTAGCCGACTTCTGACAGAGCGATCCACACTGTCCCATTCTCTGGAGCTTTGGATTTCACAAAGTTAAAAGAGAACTGTTCATGAATTGTATAACTAAGGCTGCACTTTTCCTCATTGGTACTGTAGATCCAAACATTATTTAGAAAAGAAACAAATGCTACCGAACGTGGTGTTGTTTCTTCAAATGTTATTCAACAGGTGAAGTTTCACATTATTTTGAGTATGTGAAGTGTTCAAAATGTGACATATTGGTAGCCAGGGGGGAAATTGGGTAGAATGCTTTTCTTACTCCAGGGATATAACTAACACCAGTGGGATTTTGGAGAGATTAGGAACATCCTGGCCAAAATTACAGGTGCAAATTCGGCAGCCATAACACCAGCTCTGCCAGATTTAGAAGACCCTCCTTCAAAGTGTTTTGAGTAAAACACTTTTGTTTGCTTAAACTAGAGGGAAAACTAACACCAGTGTGATTTTGGTGAGATTAGGGCAGATTCAGAAGCCCCCCTTTGGTATATGTAATACATATGATTTAATCCAAACCATTTCTCCCCTCGGTCTGACTTTTCTTCTAAATCCTGAGGGCAGATGAGAAGCCAAGTGAGCAGAATTATTTGGGAGGCAATCTTAAAAGAGACAGGCACTGAAACGGAGCGTCTCGGAGCGAAGACAGGTATATTCAAACAGACAATATTAGAAAAAAATGTGTTTTCATTAGAAACCCTCATTTTAGCATGAAACTGAAAATGACCATGATATATCCTCTTTAACTGCCTTATCAAGATATAAGAGATTTAATCAGAGGGAAAACATTCTGCCAACATTTAAGACCTTCACACTTCATTTAAAGGCTAAATTGGATGTAGTTAGTGTAAAAATCATCGTACTTGTCGCTCCACGCTCCGGTCCACTCCACTTCCCCCCAGGGGTTCCTGATGCGAACCAACTTGGTCTTATTTCCTCTGTAAACGACCTGAGGGCACAAAGACATTTACACTTCGTCACTACTTAGGTCATCTGGGGTGAGTGCGTATCACAAACGCCCTGCACACGTCTTTCTGTGTATCTACTGTCGGCAACTCTGAAATTAAATGTCACAGTTTAACAAACCCTAACAAATGGAGCTATCCTCTTTGAAATAAATTAACTTCAGTTACAGAACGTAATGATACTGATTATAAAAAGACCTATGATGCATTTATCATGTGGCAATGTCATAAGAGATGCAACGTTGAACATGACAGAGAATATTTGAGAATTATTATTATTTAGTATTATTATTTTTACTTTGTTATAATTATTATTTTGAGTGAGAAAAAAAAAGAATATATTATTATTATTGTTGTATGTTTTGTTTCTGACACGTTCAATAAATTGACTAAAAAAAATTTAAAAAACTTTACTAAGGGGAATGTTGCCGAGCAACGAACCCATGATACATTTAGGGTTTCAATCTATGATTTTATAAGTAAAAATGCAGTTTTCAAAGTTAACTTTACTGAATAAACTCCAGTGCATTCCTGAAATCAAGCAGTTTTGATAGCCAAAATCGGCAAAAGTAATATTTCCTTATATATGACCTACTGATAAATGGTTAAATCCTTTCAATACGTTGCGTGAAAAACATCCTTAAAGGTTTTTCAAGCAGTAAGTCAATGTGTGTTATAAGGAAGAACATTTGCTAAGAAAGAATACATTGAATTACAAGTAAATAGTCCCAACGTTCTTTCCTCACTCTTTCCAGTTCTGACATTTTGGATCTTGGCCATTGCAAAAGTCACCATGCTGCCATTTTGGCTGAGGAATTGGATTTGACTGTGAACCGCTCACCTCGTCCACACCGGTCACAGAGTAGGCGTGTCCCTTCACCAGCTTCTTGAACGTCACAGCCTCCTTGTCCACAGAGCTTGTGATCTGAGGAGAAACAGCGCGGTCAGTGACGTCTATAAAGTGATTTACAGTCAGGAGGAACTGCACACTGCTGCTCCACATGTGACTAGTTAGAGACATTCAACTCATTATCGAGGTCAACAAACTTTTGCTTTTCTGATTTTCGTGTGGACATTTATTTAGTGGATATGTTTTTCAGTTAAGTAAGTGCCATGCAGACACATCGCAGATCTTCTTAAGCAAACAAAGACAATGCAGACAATAACAGTGTTGAATAAATGAGTGTTTAAACTCATTTTTAAATGCTAAAAATATATATTGGTATATATGGATCCCACATTTTTGGAGATTACTAAATGGGAGTCATTACATATTTTTTCTTCAATATTTACAATTTTAAATGTGTAGAAAATGCAAACTATAAATGTAAAAGTTGCAGTTCAGAACCTAAACTTTGTATTTTAAGCATTTATCCAGAAGACTGTTCG